TTCTTTACGTGTTAAATTCCTTGTCTTTGAAGATGTTTAGTTAGGAGCCATCCTCTTCAAGTTGTCGCTGCATGCTTCTTTGAAATCTGCTTTGAAAGCGATTTCATTTTCATGAACTGAATGGTCTGATAACACTCCACCGGAAAGCTGCTCACTCTCAGAAAAACCTTTTTCAATAGATGGATACTTGTATAAAATGTTTATATTAGACCTTGTTCTTATTGTGATTTCGCCTTCTAGTTTTCTAAAAACAACTGTCAAAACAACAACTCCTTGGCTCGGAGTTTGAACTTCGCTTCGGATGTGGCGTTTTCATGCAACTCAAATTCGTCAGAAAAATAAAATTCGCTTGAAAAATATTCTTCCTCGTCATTCTTAATTTTTCCTTGCTTGCTTCTCGTATAGTTATCTCAAATTAAGTTCAAAAAAATAAAATCTCGCGCCTTGAAAAATGTCAACAAACGGGTCGCTCGGGACGGTTGTCATGGTAATCGGTCGGAGATGGCAAAATATCGCCCTCGCGTGAGCCAATCAGAACGCGCGTACTATCTAAGTCATATAATAACTGAGGTTAATGCACCTAGGAAGGGATAAAAAGGTATTTGTTAGAGAAAATACAAACTTACCTGTGGTCGCGAAGCACAAGGGAAAGAATGGCTATGCTTAGTAGCCGCGCCTCTGGTGTCGCGGGGGAAGCTGGGATTACGTAATACCTATATTTTTTGCATTTTTTTATGCGTTAAAGAGTAGTCCGAAGCACAGTAAATGGAAATATTCAAGCGGTTATTTTCTCATATATTTCGGAGTTTGTGAAATATAATTAAATATCGATCTGATCTCCAGTAACATGGCACAGGAACAATTTATAATACTGCATTAGACTTAATTCACACATAACATATGTGCTATTCATATTTATGTATGTTAGATACTTATACTCAGATGTGGCATCAGAAAGGCGGAATGCTCCAATAACACCGGAGGCCAAATTATCAATCAATCATTTGCCCGTCCCTCCTCAAGAGACATTTAGCTGTCATTCTACTTTAATGACGTTCAACCTTTACTAATTAAGTAATGCCCCGAGTAAGAACTTGAGGGAAGCAAATGGCACAGGAATGCAAGAAGGTGCTAATTGCGCATTGTATAATCCATCCATCCCATTGGTTAAAACATGAAAATCTGCTATAATTTCACAAGTTAGCGAATTTTCTAATATTTTATTTAATGTCTGTTTTCGCTTTCATGAAAGCTTTCTTTAGCTTTAATATTAAGGCAATTCTACGTGGGGAACATAGCAAATTAGAAGCATCTTTTGGCTATTGTTTTGAGTGCTTATGATTGGATAAGAGCTTTTAATACAAAAGAAACTTTGTTTCAAAATAGAGTTTATCCACATTTTATTTCAAAAATGTGTTACCCACAGATGGATACATAATCAGTGTGAAAACCAAGACATTCGTACATGGGGAACTTGCTATGCCGCAGAACAATAGAGAGTTCCCTAGTTCTTTAGCGCATTGTTACTTAA